GTTGTGAGGTTATATCTCACTGTGGTTTTAATTTGCATTTCTCTGATGATTAGTGACATTGAGCATCTTTTCATATGTCTATTGGCTACCTGTATGTCCTGTTTGTAGAAATGTCTGTTCAGGTCCTCTGCCCATTTTTTAATTGGGTTGTTTGTTTTTTTGGTATCCAGTTGCGTGAGTTGTTTTTTTTTAGATAAGTTTTGAATATTAACCCCTTCTCAGATGTATCATTGGTGAATACCTTTTCCCATTTAGTAGGCCATCTTTTTGTTTTGTTGGTTTCCTTTGTTGTGCAAAAACTTTTTAGTTTGAGGTAGTGTCATTTGCGTATTCTTTCTTTTGTTTCCCTTGCCTGAAGAGATACAGCAGAAAAAATGTATCATTCGAAGCAATATCAGAGAGTTTACTGCCTATGTTTTCTTCTAGGAGATTTTTGGTTTCGGGTCTTACATTTAAGCCTTTAATCCATTTGAGTTTATTCTTGTATATAGTGTAAGAAAGTGATCCAGTTTCATATTTTGCATGTATCTGTCCAGTTTTACCAGCTTCATTTATTGACAAGACTGTCTATACCCCATTGTATATTTTTGCCTCCTTTGTCATAGAGTAATTGACCATATAGGCATGGGTTTATTTCTGGGCTCTCTATCCTGTTCCTTTGATCTATGTGCCTGTTTTTATTCCAGTAACATGCTGTTTTGATTACTGTGGCCTTGTAGAGTAGTTTGATATTAGGTAGCGTGATACCTCCACCTTTGTTCTTCTTTCTCAAGAATTATTTGGAGTCTTTTGTGGTTCCATATAAATTTTAGGATTATTTGTTCCAGTTCTGTGAAAAATGCCAGTGGTATTTTGATAGGGATTGCATTGAATTTGTAGATTGCTTTGGGTAGTATGGACATTTTAACAATGTTAATTCTTCCTATTTATGAGCATGATACATGCTTCCAATTTTTTGTATCTTCTTTAATTTCTTTCTTCAGTGTCTTATAGTTTTCCTAGTACTGGTCTTTTAACCTCCTTGGTTAAATTTATTCCTAGGTATTTTATATATTTTTGATGCAGTTGTAAATGGAATTGTTTTCTTAATTTCTGTTTCTGATAGTATATTATTGATATATAAAAATGCAACCAATTTCTAAATATTTATTTTATATCCTACTTTACTGAATTCATTTATCAGTTCTAATAGATTTTTTTGGTGGAATCTTTGAGGTTCTGTGTATATAGTATAGTGTCATCTGCAAATAATGACAGTTTGACTTCTTCCTTTCCAGTTTGAATGCCTTTTATTTCTTTTTCTTGTCTGAGTGCTGTGGCTAGGACTTCCAATACTATGTTAAATAAAAGTGATGAAAGTGGACATCTTTGTCTTGTTCCTGATCTTAAGGGAGAATACTTTCAAGTTTTTCTCATTGAGTATGTTAGTTGTGGGTCTGTCATATGTGGCCTTTATTATGTTGAGACATCTTCCCTCTATTCCCACTTTACTAAGTGTTTTTATCATAAATGGATGCTGGATTTTGTCAAATACTTTTTCTGCATCTATTGATATGATCATATGATTTTTATCTTTCATTTCATTTATGTAGTGTAATCTTGTTAACTAATTTGCATCCCGGCAATAAATCACACTTTACCTTGCGTTATGATCTGTTGAATTCAGTTTGCTTATATTTCTTGCAGGATTTTTGCATCTGTGTTCATCAGGAATATTGGTGTATAATTTTTTTGTGATGTCTTTGTCTAATTTTGGAATCAGGGTAATGTTGGCCTCATAAAATAAGCTTGGGAGCCTCCCTCCTCTCGAATTTTTTGGAACAGTTTGAAGTGGATAGGTGTTAATTTTTCTTTGAATGTTTGGTTAAATTCACCTGTGAAGCCATCTGGTCCAGGACTTTTGTTTGCTGCGAGCTTGTTAATTACTGATTTGGTTTCATTAGTCGTATCTGATCTGTTCAAATTTTCTGTTTCTTCTTGATTCAGTCTTGGAAGTTTGTATATTCCTAGGAATTGATCCATTTTTTCCAGATGTTCCAATTTTTTGGCCTATAATTGTTCATAGTATTTTCTTATAATCCTTTATATTTCTGTGGTGTCCATTGTCACTTCTCTTCTTTCATTTCTGATTTTTTAAATTTGGCTTCTGTCTTTTTTTCTGGATGGGTCTGGTTAAAGTTACATTGATTTTGTTTTCTCTTTGAAAGAACCAGCTTTTGGTTTCATTGATCTTTTATATTTTCTTAGATTTTATTTCTGCTCTGATATTTATTATTTCCTTCCTTCTACTCACTTTGGGTTTTGTTTGCTGTTCATTTTCCCAGTTCCCTTAGGTGTACATATAGACTATTTATTTGAGATTTTTGCTTGTTTCTTGAGGTAGGCTTGCATTGCTATGAATTTCCCTCTTAGGACTGCTTTTGCTGTGTTCCATAGATTTGGGGTTGTTGTATTTTCCTTTTTCATTTGTCTCATGGTATCTTTTGATTTCTTTCTTGATCTCATTGTTAACGCATTCATTGTTTTGTAGCATGTTATTTAGCCTCTATGTGTTTGTGTATTTTTCAGGGTTTTTTTGTAACTGATTTCTAGTTTCATACCCTTGTGGTAGGAGAAGATGCTTGATATGATTTCAGTCTTCTTACATTCATTGAGAGTTGTTTTGTGGCCTGACATATGGTCTGTGTTGGAAAATGGTCCATGTGCACTTGAAAAGGATGTATGTTCTGCTGCTTTGGAGTGAAATGCTGTAGAAATAGTTAAATCCATCTGGTCTAGTCTGTCATTTAAGACCACTGTTTCCATGTTGATTTTGTGTCTGGAAGATCTATCCCTTGATTTCAATGGGGTGGGCATTAAAGTCCTCTACTATGACTCTATTACTGTCTGTTTCTCCCTGTATGTTGGTTAATATTTGCTTTATGAATTTTGATGCTCCTATGTTGGGTGCATAAATGTTTACAAGGGTAATATTCTCTTTTGAGATTGATCTCTTTATCATTATGAAATGTCCTTCTTTGTCTCTTAGTGTAGCCTTTGTTTTAAAATCTATTTTGTCTGATATAAGTATTGGAATCTCTGGTTTTTTTCCATTTCTATGTGCTTGAAATATCTTTTTCAATGCCTTTACTTTCAGTCTGTGTGTGTCTTTCAATCTGAAGTGGATCTGTTATAGACAGCATATGTATAGGTCTTGCTTTCTCATCCATTCAACTACCCTTTATCTTTTGATTGGAGCTTTTAATCCATTTATATTTAAAGTGATTACTGATAGGTACATAGTTATTGCCATCTTATTATTCATATTTACGTTCTTTATTTTTTCCCTCCTTCTTAAAGAAGTCCCTTTAACATTTCTTGTAATACTGGTTTGGTGGTGATGAACTCCTTTAGCTTCCTTTTTTGGGGGAAGCTCTTGATCTCTCCTTCAATTTTCAGTGATAGCCTTGCTGTGTAGAGTAGTCTTGGTTTTAGGTCCTTGCTGTTCATCATTGCGAATATTTCATTCCAGTCTCTTCCTGCCTGCCAAGTTTCTGTTGAGAAATCAGCTGACAGTTTTGTGGGAGTTCCCTTGTGGGTAACTACCTGCCTTTTTCCTATTGCTTTTAAGATTCTTTCTTTGTCTTTAACCTTTAGTATTTTGATTATGGTATATCTTGGCCTCAATGGGTTCATCTTGTTTGGAACTTTTTGCGCTTCCTGAGGTTGTATGTCTATTTCCTTTGCCAGCTTAGGGAAGTTTTTAGTCATTTTTTTCCAAATTGGTTTTTAATCCCTTGTTCTCTCACCTCTCTTACTGGTGCCCCTATGATGCAAATGTTGTTATGCTTCATGTTATCCCAGAGGCCCCTTAAACTATCCTCATTTTTTAATTCTTTTTTCTCTTTGCTGTTCCTTTTTTTTTTTTTTTTTTTTTTTTAGCTGAGCCATCCTGCTACCTATTGGTAGCTTAGCGGCTGCTCAGCTCGGGCTGGCATCGAACCGCTGTTGCTCAGAGCTCAAACTCTTGAGCGAGCTCTTAACCAACTGAGCCACTCGGCCGGCCCTATCTCTTTGCTGTTCCTATTGGGTGTTTTCTTCTACCTTATCTTTCAAATTGTTGATTCCATGCTCTGTTTCTTCTAATCTTTTGTTGATTCTTTCTACTGCATTGTTCATTTCAGTCATTGTATTCTTCATTTCTGACTGGTTCTTTTTTATGTTTTCTGTGCCATTTTTTTAATGCTTACTATCTGTGTATTGGAGTTCTCACTAAGTTCCTTGAGCATCTTTGTAATCAGTGTTTTGAACTCTGGTAGATTGTTCGCATCTATTTCATTTAGTTGTTTTTCTGGGATTTTCTCCTGTGCTTTCATTTGGAACATATTTCTTTGTTTCCTCATTTTGGCTGCCTCTCTGTATTTGTTTTTATGTATTAGGAAGAAGGAGGGAGAAGAGGGTGGTAGAGGAAAGATTCCATGAAGCTTCAAATCAGCATAAAGTCATTCATGCTTATAGAAGATGCAAATCATGGTGTTAGCATCTACCATATTGAAGCTTATTTATTTAGTTCTTGACCCAAGAGTATGCACTTTTGTGAGCACTCTTCTTTGGTGTCTTAGTGCCTTGTTTAGTGTGCTCACATTGAGTGCTATTGTGTGAAAGTGTGCATGTTTGTCTGGGAAAATACATGATAGCAGTATCTAGCACATTAGGTCACTCTGTTTATGCCCTTTTCCCCTCCCATCCTAGTATTTATGGGTTACTAAAGTACTTCCTTAATACCACTTAGGGAACTCTAGTAACGCGCAAGTCTGGTCAAATAAGTCTTGACCTTAGAAGACTCAGCTCCCTCTGGCACCCTCAGAACATACGAATTGAACATGCTAATGCTGCCTCCATGAAACAGCTCTTTGCCCAAGTCACTGTTGTGGGAAAGCATTCAGGGCTGTTAGAGTTGTGCTGTGACTTCTTCCTTGTTAGCCTCATGATGAAACAGTTTTATTTTATTCATGCCATAGGGACTTTTATCCATCGTCATCGGATTCCTCTTCCACCTCCTGATGAAAATGAGTTTTATACTGCGTGTCATTTCAATATCAACATAGACGTTGTCTTTTATGGCCGAACATTCAGGATTTATGACTGTGATGCATTCACAAAAAACTTTTTGAAGAAAATGGGAGTCAAATTAAGCCCTCCAGGACAGTGTCCAGAAGATCCTTACCTGAAGATATGGAGAAAGGTAAGAAGTTGATACGTTTGGGAGTTCTTGTCTTCAGAATGATAACCCTTTCGGAGAGTCAGTAGAGTGTACTGTTACTTCTGATGCAAATGTGAGAGAACTTTTAAGGCACAATCACTGGAGTTGCCATCTTCTCCTCTCGGTTTCACTCACTGCCTCTGCCCCACTTCTATCCATGGAGAGTCTTTCTTCCAGGCCAGAGGAGTTCTCAGTAAGCTGCCCACATAGGACCATTTCTAAGAGCCCACAATTGGCTATGTGGTCACTGACAGTGTAAGAGTTGGACCCACATTTACCTGGCTTGTCTTTTCCTGTTTAGTTGCCTAACTCTGGGGAAATCTTTGCTTCTGTACTGCTGATTTAGTGAGCCAAGCCCTCGGTACACCTTTTACCTTTTTCCTTCTTTCTCGGGACTCCCGGTTCCCCTTATGGTGGCATCAGATGCAGAGATGTTCTGGAGGAGTGAGGAGAGTATGATTTCAATGTACCCCCATTATGAAAGGATGATTGTTTTCAAAGTCTGACCCCAGTTAGTATAGGGAGGAAAGAATCAGTATTAGTAGTAGTAGTATTTTCTTAAGTTTTTTGTTTTTAATTATCCCAAGTTTTATATTTTATAGAAGAATCTGCACACCCAAAAGAGCAATTGTGATGTGGAAGGTCACTTAACTAGCCAATCTTCTTCCTGGACTTGAACTCAAATCGCTTCATTCTTTCCCTGGTTTTCATTATTGTCATTTGTTTTCTTTTTCTCTTTTTATTGAAGTATGATTATACATGGTAAAATACACAGAAATTAGGTATACAGTTAGATGAGTCTTAACGAATTCATACACCCATGTAATCCACACCCAAATCAAGATATAGAACATTTCAATTACCACCCCTCCAGAAAGTTCCCTCAATCCTTTTTCCAATCAGTCCCTCTTCTCACCATGCGATAATCACTGTTCTCATTTATATCCTATAGATAAGTTTAATCTCATTTTTATTGTTTCTAGAATTTGTAATTCATTTCTTTGCAGAAAGATAATACACAATTTAGAATAAAATTCTCTTTGTTTTGATCTCTTGTTAAAAGCTGAATGTAGGGTCATTTCTGCCTCCTAGCCCCATCAGAATTATTCTTCAGTGTTGTAAGCATACAACCCTCCTGAGAGATATATATTGTTGATCCTGGAATATATAAGGTGAAATCCTTGTGGCATTATACCTGTGTATATCAGCGTGCAAGAAGATTTATGGTTTGGGTTCATTTTTATTTTTTCCAAATGCCCTAGATAAAAACAGTTTTTAAGCTAGCAGAGAGGAACTAAAAGAAATGGATCTGTATGAATTACCACCCTTTGCATATGGCTGCACTTATTCACTAACAGTTGGTATTTTGTGATGGTGATTGTGAATGATGATGCATTATATGAAATATATAGAGCACTGTGCAATTTCATAAGTTTATAATAAAAAAATCTTTTGTGCCAGGAATCAAGAATAAATACCAAGAACAGCCAAGAAATGTTTTAAGTAATTTCCTTTCAGATTGGGAGAATCATTTTAGCATTTATTCCCTCAGGGAGAAAGCTCTTCAATAAATACAGAAATCTGTGGAAAATTAGGAGTTTAATAAGAGGCTTTTATATTGATTTTAATGCTTTTACTTCTCCAGTGTTTGCTGCCTCGAAATTTAAAGTTAAAATTAAACAATTTAATGTAAACTGAAAATAGCCCCAATGGTGTGTAATCAATAATGCATTTCTTAGAAGAGTTATAATACCAAAGAAATATTTTTCAATTGATGAAAGTAGAGGTCCCATTATTTCATTTAAAGATCAAGGATGAGCCTGAAGAGTCTCTGGAAGGCCATCATGTTTCCCACTGTCTTGGGGTATGTCTGCACCTAGACTGCCCTGGACAGATGAAAAGATTTTGAGAATTTACAAATCAGATTACATAACATGATGTGGGACTACATCTCCCTTGCCCCCGAGTATTTCCTTATGTAACAATCTTATTTGGCTACATTAGATAGAATGGGGGTAATTTTGTTCCAAGACAGGGATGAGAACATGCAAATAGAGAAGAGTTGCACTAATAAGACTGCAGAGCTAGTGGTTCCTGGGTTGGGGGACAGAGCCCAGGCAGTGGTTCTGTGCTGATGGGGAAGTTCTCCATTAGTTCTGCTTCTGTTTCCATGACCTTTCAAATCCTCAGTAACTAAAGCTTTTGAGCAAAATTAACCATGAATATATTTCTTCCCTTTTACCTTCACAAAAATCTTTGGATGAATAAGAAGGATATGCCAATATGAATTTTCAGTGAAAAGACAAACAGTTATTTTGGTTGAGATATAATTAACATAGACTCATGTACAAATCTTAAGGATACTGATCAAGTTTTGAAAAATGTGTACAATTTAGTAATCAACATGAAAATCAAGATACAGAATATTTCTATCACCCCAGAAAATTCCCTTGTCCCCCTTTCCAGTCAATCCCTTACCAAAGGGAAATTGCTGTTCTAGTTTGTCACCATCATTAGTTTTTGTCTTTTCTTAAACAAGAATTTTAATTCTTTGAGAAAAGTCAGTTTTTAAAAGCATTACAAAAATATATTTTAGTGTATTATTGGGTCGTCAGGAAAGTCATGATGTATTTTTGTATGTTTTTCAATGCAAAAATGCGTCATGAATTTCCCAACAACCCAATAAAATAATATTTAATATGATAAGCTTCCCTAATACTTGATTGTATTTTTAAGGTTAAAACATTATATGTGCCTATATATATGGATGTTGTTAGTTGAAATTAAAAAAAAAATCTCAGGATACTCTATGGAAGAGATATCTTTATGTTCTTTGATGGCTTGCATCCCAGAAGTGCTTATACCCAAACCACAACTATTGTTGACTTTTGCTCCATTTTCAGAACCTGGACAATATAATGGACGTATATCCCCATGAGTCCTCCAACACCCTGAAACAGTTCCTCGAATATGATAGGAAGGTTTTGCGTTTTTTCTGCTTGTGGGACGACTCAACCTCATTGTTTGGGGACCGCAGAGAACTCGTTTTGCGTTACTTTCTGTCTGATGATACTATCGAAGTCAGAGAATTGCTGCCACACAACTCAGGCCGCAGTGGTATGCCGTTTTTCCTCCGGAGGAGAAAGCTGCCCAAGGTGAGCAGTATATACAGAACCATTTTCCCAGTTTGCTTGTGGGCTGAAAGACTCTAGTCACTCACTGGAATGTTATATTTTATGACTATCCAATGACAGTTACCATATATTAGTGCAAGTGTTTAGAAGAGTTTTCATTTTGTGCCCTATATTAATATATACCTTTGAAAGTAATGCAGAGGATATGACAAATTGGATTTGGAATATTCTGGGCTTAAGGCAAGTAAAGGAAAAAAGTCAAATGCAAGAGAAAGTATCTATTTGTCAATGAGTTCACAATCAGTCCTATGAAGGTAACTGACTCTGTAGCAATTGCTCATGGCCTGGATTGGGCACTGGTCTCTGGACTCTAGCTTACTGAGGAGATTCCATGATGTTGGTCTGGGTTCTGAGTGTACACACATAAATGTACACACATACACACAGGAGTGACTCTTCTGAGAGTAGCCACCCGTCACCAACTAGCCACTGGCTAGCGGCAGTGACAGCTTTTGCATTTTATTTACTATTAAAAAGGAATTGTCAGATTGATTTCTATACATATTTATGCCCACTTGAGAACTAACGTAACTTGGGTACAGCCAGAAATGACACAGAGACAGAGGACCTGGGTTAGAATTGTGGTTCTGCACTTAATAGCTGGGTCATCTTGGGCAAGTCACTTAACCTCTCTGAGTGTATTTCCTTATCTCTAAAATGCAGTTAACATGGCCTCCATCCTGAGGTAACTGTAAAAATAGAATGAGATAACAGCAAAAAACGCACTCTAAGGACCTATAAACACGTATAAAGACACATAGAGACAAAGGCTTTTTCACAGTTCTCTGTTATGTTTTATTTCTTACTTGTATGAAGTATTTTTTAACTTAATTTTTAGTGCTACAGAAGAGGTTACTGTAACTCTCATTTCTGATGCAAACAACTGCTGGTTATGTGGTCTGCACAGGAGGCTCTCCCAGATTCTCTGAGCCCACCCCCAGAAGCCCTGCTGTGTTGCTGGGAGGGGACGGCTGGGGGAGGTAGGCAGGTTTTGTCCCAGAGGGAGCTCTGGGGTATGCACAGCAGGTGGCCAGAGGGTACTAGGGAAGCCTGTTTTTAGAATGGCTTTGAAAAATAGGCTGAATATAAAATAATAATGACACATCTGAACTTTGCAGTGTACCTTTTTATCAATTGCTTCATTTATTCATTAACTCATCACATTTATTGAGTGTCAACTGTGTTAGCTCTGGGATTATAGTGAGAAAGAAAATGGATTAAGTCCTGCTTCACGGAGTTTACATTCTCATGGGAGTGATACAATAGTGGTGGGTGTTCCCCTGACACACTCAACATTTTTTGAGAAAACAAGGAATAAGTACTGTTGTTGCTATAAATGACAAAAGTGAAGTTCTGAGAAGATAGATACCTGGCCCCAAGTCCTATAGCTAGTAAGTGGTAAAGAGTTTGCATCCAAATGTACTGTTTTTCAATGTTACATGGCTTACTTATACCCCACACATTATAAATGCACATGTTTGAACTTACATTTTATGTCACATGTATCAGAGATGATTCAGATTTTTCATCTGTATGTGATAAACTGATCACTGTCAATTTATAAGTTAGTTAAGGTATTTCCTCCAGCTCGCGCAACTGCTTGGACCACCTCCAGTGCGTGTGGAGCTGAAGAGTGCCCTGGCTTGTTCCAGGCCACAGTTCTGCTAGAGGCTGACCACACTCTGTTGTACTTGCCTCCTCACCACACCACTTCTCTCAGCGAGCAAGTGCCTCCTGAGCTCAGGATCAGGCAGGGTGCCAAGTGGAGTAGAGAAAAAAAGGCAAGGCATGGCTTCTTCTTTAGGGTTGTTGGTAGTTGAGTGAAGAGAAAAAAGATGACTGCTGATGAAGCAGTCAGAGGGCTTTAATCCTGCCGTAGGTGCTATGGAGCGTTGGACTAGGGGCAGGCCAGTCAGATGGGGAAATAAGGGGTTTTATCAGGGTCTTACCAGATGGGTGGAGTATAGACCAGCCTGCCGGAGGTGAGGAAGTACAGGGAGAGTTGTATAGAGTAAGTTGTCTTGTCATCCCTGTGGGTGGCAGAGAAGAACCGTATAATGCCATATAATGCATATTTCCCACGTGAGCCCCTCAACAGGACCATCTTTGTGTTTAGAGGCCATCCACCACATCTTGTTTTGATTTTGTCTTCTAGTATGGCCCGCCTGGAGTCTATCAACCAGGCAAGGTGGCAGATCAAGCAGTTCTCAATGTGTATGGGGGCCGCCTGACAGTGAGCCAACTGCGTGGCTACCTGTTGGATAAATGCAAGGTAAGGAGCTTCGTGTTTTATTACTGTCTCCAATGTGATGTCCCTGGAATCTGAAATGTGGGGTGAGCTACGTATTCTTCTCTTGTGAGACTGTGAATGAAATTGATGAATATATAAATGTATACATTGCATTGCTGTTTATCAATAATAAACATACTTAAGTGCCTATGTAAATATACGCGTTGCATTGCTATTGGGTAGCACTACATTGCTAAAAGAATGTTTTTAAATGTTAATATCAACTGGTTGTCTTTTGATTTGATTTTAAAAATTTGGTTATAAATGATATAATTGAGGGTTTTTTAAAAATTTATTTTTTCCTTTGGGAAGGGTTTTCCTTTGGACGGTCTGTGGTGCCAACACTATGTTCCTTTCTTTTTATTAGCTAGGAAAATTAGAACAAGAATTTTACAAAGACAGTGACCTGTCCTTAGGAACCACCATCAATGTGTGGGGAAGGAAAGTGCTCCTTTGTGACTGTGATGAATTTACGAAGACTTACTATAAGAATAAATATGGAATTGGTAAGTGATTTGTCTGTCAATTCGAAAATAATATGAAAACTTAGAATCTTTGTTCCCTAGTTAACATTTTACTTTTGAGTTTCAAATGCTAAGCTCATGATAGCTACCATAATAGCTACTATTTATTGAGCGTTTGCTATCTGCCAGGCATTTGTTGTCTTATTTCTTCCTAACAACAATTCTAAAAGGGCAGGCCCACTATCCCCAGTTTAGAGGTGAAGAAACTGAGGCTTAAAATGGGCTAACTTGTCGAAGGTCATGCAGCAAGTAAACAGTGAGTCAAGATTCAAACTTGTTTGCCTGATGCCAGAGGCTTCCGTTTTCCCTTACAGCCCTCTGCCTCACTACAATTTGGGTACATGTTTTGGTCAAGCAGTCAGAATGGAAATCTAAATGCTTTTCTTTTCACTGAATTGTTGTTTATACAGTGGATATACTTATTTGAGTTCTCTGGGGAATTCTCTTGTGCTAATTTGGTCTTCCTTTCCTGGGGAGGCTCAGTCGGGTTTGCAGCTTCTTTCTTCCTAGATATCAGTTGCATCCAGGTTAGTTCAGTTCAGAATGAAAACCAGTGACTTATTAAACACCTACTAGGTACAGGTCATTGCAGTAGACTTTGGAGCTCCAGAGTTGGTTGGGTAAGGAGTTTCTAGGTTGGAAGGGGAGCCGAGCCCCACAGCATGTTACATGGTGTTACGAGGGTTGTAGAAGCAGGTGGAAGATCTGATATGAAGCCAAAGAAACAAACCCCTGATTTGTTAAACCTGCCAGCCAGCTCTGTCCAATTCCTGGGCCTTCTAGCCCAGGCTCCTGACAACACGCCAGTGCTAGGATTAGTAGGGGCGGTGGGAGTTGCTGACCTGCCAGATTGGGGTTTGGAGCTGGAGTGGAGGATGCTTACTTCTCCACTCCTCTGAACCTTGGAGTAGTCATGTGAGTGCACTTCCTGGAGGGATGAGGTGGAAGCCAGAAGCAACCACAGCTTCCTAAAAAACAAGATGCTTTGTCTCTAGAATGAGATGAGGCCTACTTTGTGCCTTGGTGTCCCCATTGTGTAGTGTTCCTGGCCTCCTGGGAATCTTTACCATGTGAGACAAAGCACACCAAGTGCACCAAGAGGTTGGAATAAAAAAAGACTTTCAGTTTCACTCTTTGGTTCATTAAGGGAATTTGTTCAACTGCATCTTCCTGCCAGATTAGTCCCAATGTGGGGGCCTTATGGGGCCATATTGGTGGCCTCGTCTTATTTCATTTACTATTATTTGTCCTCTGTAGTGGACAGAGTTGGGCATATTTGTTTTGGGGACTCTGTGCAAGAGGCATCCAGGAATGGACAGGTGGTGGCTGCTGAGAAGAAGCTGCTAGTGAGCCTTAGATCACTGCGAGGAAAATTTGGTCTTTAACAATGTAGATGTCTATTTAGAATCAATAACTCTCCAGTGCAGACTTAAAAATTTGAAAAAAAGAAACGTATAAAAGATGAGTCACAAATATATTTACTTGTGTCCTACTGACAGATTACCTTGATGTATAGGATATGGTGAAGGTTCCAAAACATCACATAATCCCTTAAACGTAAAGTCCAACATTTGGTTGAAGTTTGTCTGTCAGCTTGATTTTGAGACTGAAGGTTGTGTTTGGGAAAATGAATGTAGTGCTGGAGAGACATGGTTCATTGTTTGTCTCTTAATGGGTTTGCAGAGATCTTTGAGAGGCGGCATGAATTCACTGGTGCACTCTGCAAATGTATCAGCTTCCCATGACCCATGGTTCTTTTCAGTTGAGCCCTAATGCTTACGTTCTTTCCCACTTCTTTTGTTCACGCTATAGACTTAGTATATTTTGCAGAAGAAAAAGTAGTTTTTGCCTCCAAAGCTAATACAACATGAGAATGATGCATTTAAACAGAAAGTTATGCAAATGCAAAATTGCCATGCATTTTGCAGTCATGCTGACTTTTTATATTTCTCATAACATATGTTAAAATATCCCATTTAGCAGGCAGTGTTATTACACAACAGTTCTTGAGTAACAACAGTATACTTAATGTAACTAATGACTAGAAATTATATCCATGATGCAGGGTAGGCGGGGAGTCAATGAATACTCTCTGATAATCTTTACATTTGCTTTTGCTAAGTTTTTGGTAAGGTTAAATTAATATACTTAATGTTACTTAAATAGTTACTTCCAGTATTTTAATTTTGTATATAATTCATATGGTTCTAAAATTCATAAGACTCACCAAATTCCATATGTTCTATTTTGGTATCCTTGATGCCCAAATCAGGACAGAGGCCTGCCAATAATTATAGTCACAATTCTCCCTTGTCAAGAATATGTGGTGTTTCCATTCTGCAGTGCCATAGGAAGACGCTGACAAGTGCCCACGACACAGCTAGGGACCTCCCTAAGAGGAAGCCAGGGGGAGATTTCTAATGCAGTATATAACCTTGGTGCTTTAGTACCTTCTCTTAACTAATGGTTCCCCAACATATTTTGGGGGAGAAAAATGGCAGATATGAGTAAGCTTTCTATTTATATAGAAGCACAGGGCTTGATAGAATTCCAAGAAATATCTGTACCCCCCTTTAAAACCAATCTGACTCCTAAAAAGATGAGATTCTTTCATGCATTTCAAGTTCTAAGAAGAGGATTCCATAGAATTCTTCCACAGAACAGTCCAGTGTGATTCCCCCCTAGGCAGCTTGGCCGTCCCACTGGCCCAGGCTTGCCTGCCAGGCTGTATAGCATGTCACTTCCTCATTGTTTCATGTAGATGAAAGACTGGCAGATGGAGGCCTGTTGGACTTTCTTACAGCACGAAGGTTGGAAAAGGCTCCAGGGGCTCCAGCAGCAGGTGTTTCTTTCCCTGAAGAGATTTGAATGTAAACTGTTTGTACCTAGAATTCCTGTCTTGGGTTATTATTTCTTTGTCTATAAGTGGACTTTCTTATTATTGAATTTTAGTGGCTAGGACAACCAAACCAGCAATAACACCATTCATTCCCATTGCCCTTGAACACTTACTTATTAGGCTGTATTGATATTAAGGATGAGCAAAATACTTAAAGCGCCTTTAGTTTTGTGGAGTCATTTCTCACCATCTCTGAACTCTTGGTGCAGGAAGCAGCAGGACATCCAAGATGAAAGTTTTTTTTGTTTTGTTTTGTTTTTTAAAGATTTTTTATTGGGGAATTGGGGGGATGGGAACAGTGCTGGGGAATTGGGGGAAGGGGAACAGACAAGGTTGTTGCGTTTTTGTTCTTCAGTCTAGTTGTGGAGGACGTTGCTTCACTGGCCCAAGTTGGCACCATCGTTGCACTCTTCCCAGGTGAGGCAGATCAGTTGCCGGCTTCTGGACAGCTGCTCACTGTGGCTGCTGGCCGCTCACGCTGGCTGCTGGCTACACACGGTAGCCCATGGCAGCCCAGTGCAGCAGGGGCTGCAGCCCATGCCATCACCGGCGACTCACGGCAGCCCAGCTCTAGGTTGAGCTGTTGTTCAGCATCTTAGCTGTGGAGGGCAGTGTCACTGGCCCTCATATGTGGGATCCGAACCGGGGCTCTCTGGTGTCCCAAACGAGTTCTTAACCATCGCGCCACTCGGCCGGCCCCCAAGATGAAAGTTTAATAATCACTTGAGTAAATTAGCCATCCCAAGGTGCAACGACGAGGTTGAATTGCCTTCCAGTCTCACCACATGGCCTTGATGGACCTAACAAATTTACCTCTTTTTCCTCCCCTGTGAAGTGTGAAGAGTGTTGAGGATTAGATGACTTCTAAGGGTTTTTCTAGCTAGAGCTAGAAAATTATGTGATTCGCTAATTATTTGACCCAGAATCAAGCATCCCACCAAAATCATTCAACTTGGGTATTGGGTACAAGCAGAGGTAGACTTACCTTGAAGTTAATAAAGTTAATGAAGATTAATCTTTAGGGTTATTATTTTGCAGGGGCCCCAGTCCAAAGCCCTGGACCTAGTTTTGTCTCAATAATTTGGCATTTTTGTCTCGAAGAGCTTCTCCCAAATTATATAAGCCTGAGGCCTCCCAAAACCTGGGTCCATATCTGGGTTACTAGAATATACAAGACAAACTTTGAGGTAATTTGAAGGCTTTTCCAAGCATTCTTTCCAGTTGAGTTGGTGAATAGCAAATCACTATGAAGAGCATTAAGACTCCTTTTAAAAATATATCACCTCTCCATAAATTTGTTGGAATCTAGTTAATTGTAGATAGACATTCAATATATGTTTTCACAAGTCACTTGGAATTAGAGGAATCAGACTATTTGAAAGACATGTATCTCAGAATTCAGCAGTGTCAGTGTAAGAAGATATTTGGGTAGATGCCTTGTACAAAAATGTATACTTTCACTTATTCACCAAATATTTTTTAACACTTGAAACTTGCAGGGTGCTGGGATGATGGAAAACTAAAGTCAGGAAACTTATTCAGGTGCAAGTCCAAAGCTTTGTGAATGTAAGCAGTTACCCAGAGAAATACCTTGAGTTAGAGTATCCACAAAGATGTATGTGGTATTACAATAGGCATGATGGAATGGAACACTTCTCAGCTTTTATACACTAGATGGCACTGTGGGTGCAGAGGAACACTCTAAATTGGTTCTTTTGTTACTTAAATCTGTTGCAAAAATTATGTAGTTGAGAAAACAACACTGTGTTATGAAATGTATAATTTTGTGGGGAACTATAGAATGCATTCTTAATTACTTTGAGATTCAACATGTGTCCTCATTTGGTTAGACTGCTCAGACATGTATATATATAGACTCCCCTTTTAGAAGAAACTGATCATGCCCCAATTTTCTAATAATCGCAGAGTTCTCCCTACCATTCCTATAGTTCTTTCCCTGAAATGAAGGTACCAATCAGTGGTATGTTTCATGTAACAGTTAGCAGTGATAGGGTCTACTGCGATTCTGCCTACATCCAAGATTGGAACTTTCCTCTTTATTACCAAAGCTGCCTTTTAATTGCCACAAAGATAGCAATAGGAGAGGATCGTGAGACACTTCCCTTTCAGCTGTCTGGCTGCCCCCTTTCACTGAGCCAGTGAGAAATATTTGATGGCATTCTCTTTGCCAATATGTCTTCTGTGAGCAGTTTCTGTTAGGATGGAACAGTACTCTTTAGGGGATTATGCTTGAGGGGGTTTCACACACAGGATGTTAGGAAGTCTAAGGAAATATGAAAGTTAAAAATGTTTTCAAATTAGAGTTAGAAATAGCCTCAAACTCTTAACCTTTTGAACAATCAGTAAAAAAATAGTCCCTCAATTTTAAAAGTTAGGTTGCCTTGGATGACAAATTGATGCACATTTTCAATTATAGAGGTGTGCACTAAATCTGTATTCTTCTATCTATTAGAACTTTGACAATGGAAAAGGAAATCTTTGCTCCTCTGGAATTCCTTTCAGTCACAAATAGCAATATGTATGGATACTCAGACTTGGGGAAGAAGTTGAAATTAAATTCCATGGGTTGTATTGTTTTGTTGCTTTGTTTTGTTTTGTCTTGGGAAAGATTCTGGTGTCTGCTTTGCCATTTTTTGTGGGACAAACACAAGTGATTTGAATCTATCGGGTCAGTGTGTTATTTGCTGTGGAGAGCACACTTGCTTCTCAGAGATTGTACAGCCTCATAGATGAGTACCTAAAAGCCCATAGGCTGTTACAAGTGTGTCCCCAGCTCTCTCTCCATCTCTCCTTCCTCACAGTTGATAAGTAAATAAAGAAAACCAACAGTATTCACCACTTAACACTCCTTTTGAGAGAGTAGGCTATGGCTATTTAAAAAGTTGCATTTGTTTGTTTGGTTTTGGTTTTATTTTCATTTTTTTGCTTCATCACATTTTAGTACAATTGCAGCCTCTTCTTGGGCAGAGCAATCTGGAGCAGTGATTGGTGACAAAAAGTTTTGTTTTTGTTTTTTAACTAGATAGTGAAGTGCCATGGCCTCGAGTTGAGCTGGAGGAAAGGGAGGGGGCTTAAAACATGGCCACTGGAGGAGAGGACAGTGGATAGGGATGATAAAGGCAAAAGAGTCAGGAGTCAGGAATTTGATTAGTGAGTGTTGACTGAAGATAGGAAAGGGCTAAATTACAGGTTAAAATATGGAATGGGTGTCATAAAGTTCTAAGTTTGAATTTTCATATCATTGGAAAAATCAGAGACAAACAAAAAATACCCAGAAATGGGATGTGATGACAAAAGATAAATGTTTACCTATTCGACATAGTTTCTTTTTTGTTCTTTTTTTTGAACCAATGATGGTTATTGAGTGAGTTCTGTGGTTTTTGTAAACATGATTGAAACCTACTCTCACAGGATTTTGCTGTGTTTTGTTTGAAAGAGTTTAAAATAGTCTACAAAGATCTCCATGTTCATCTTGAAAACATAACAAACTTTTCAAAACAGCCATAATCAGGACAAAAAAATATTGATGTTTCATTTGCCTTTGTTTTGTTCTAGAGAACTTTACCTCGATTTCATGCAAGGCTCCACCTCCTCCAAAAATAGAAAGGAAATTTCCACCTTACACCGGCTTTGGTTCTGAAGAGGATTCTCTCTGCTCTTGTATAAGCCTCCTGCCCAAATGTCCTCGTCAGAATAACATCAGGAAATTCTTGGAAAAAGACAGGTGCTTGAGGGAACCATGATTTTGATCTAATCTTTCCCAGATGTGTTCGAGATTTATACTATAGTCCTCCAGACAAAATAGATGACACTCAGCTCATCTAATTTCAAGTCCAGGGACATGTTGTTACAGCTTTTAAATGAAGTTGTTTAGCATGCAAGTATTAACAGGTTTTTACTTGAGTGGTTATTTTATTTAGTTTATTTTTCCCAGTTTTACTGAGATATAATTGACTTATATAACATTGCATAAGTTTAAGGTGTACAATATAATGATTTGACATATGTACATATTGAAAAATGATCACCACAATAAGATTAATTAACATCCATCACCTCACATAGTTACAGTTTTTTTCCTTGTGATGAAAACTTTTAAGATTTACTCGCTTTGCAATTTTTAAATATATGACACGTATTGTTGACTATACCATCATGTTGTACATAACATCCTTGAATTTATTTATCTTATACCTGGAAGTTTGTGCCTTTTGATTACCTTCACCTAATTCTTCCAACTCCCACTCCCTGCCTCTGGCGACCACCAATCTGATGTCTATTTTTATAAGTTTGGTTTTTTTAGATTCCATATACAAGTGAGATCATACAATATTAGTTTCTCTGTCTGACATACTCATTTAGCATAATGCCCTTAAGTTTCATCCATGTTGTCACAAATGTAAGGATTTCTTTCTTTTTTTATGGCTGCATAACATTCCGTTGTGTATATATTCACCACATTCTCTTTATCCATTCATCTGTCAGTGGATACTTAGGTTGTTTCCATGTCTTGGCTATTGCAAATAATGCTGCTATGAACATGGGGGTGCAGGTATCTCTTTGTGACAATGATTTCATTTCCTTCAAATGTATACCCAGAAATGCGATTGCTGGATCATAAGTTAGTTCTGTTTTTTATAGGAACCTCCATATTGTTTTCCATAGTGCTTGCACCAATTTACATTCCCAGCAGTGCACAGGGATGCCCTTTACTCCACATCTCTGCCATTGAATGGTTATTTTAATAATAAGTGTCATATGGAAGCACCTAAAGTCATATAGTTAGTGGGATTGCCAAGATGTCCATATATATACACACACACACACACACATACGTACATACATACATATATCCTCAAGATGGTCCCTGGGAAATGGTGTAGAGTAAGGGTCAGCAAACTTTCTCTTAAAGGATCAGATAGTAAATATTTTTGGCTTTGCAAGCCATATGGCCTGTGTAACAACTGCTCAACTCTGTTGTTGTAGTGTGAAAGTAGCCACAGATCGTCCATAAACAAATGTGTGACTGTGTTCCAATAAACTTTGTTTATGGACACTGACATTTGAATTTCATATAATTTTTATTATCACAAAATATTCTTCTGATATTTTTTCAATGATTTAAAAATGGAAAAGCCATTCTTAGCTCACAGGCCATACAAAAATAGGTGGCCTGCTGTATTTGGCCCATAGGCTGTAGTTTGCCTACTCCTGGTATTAGAGGCTTCAGTGCTTTATAAGTGTTTTTCAGAATATTATTTGGCCCTTAATGTGGTTTGTTTGTTTATTTGTTTGTTTGTTTTTAAAGATTTTATTGGGGAATTGGGGAGGGGCACAGTGTTGGAGAATTGGGGAAGGGGAACAGCCAAGTTGTCCTTCAATCTTAGTTGTGGAGGGTGCAAGCTCAGATCCAAGTCCAGTCGCCGCTTTCAATCTATTGGGTTGTCAGAAAAGTCATGATGTATTTTTTCTATGTTTTTCATTGCAAAAATGCGTCATGACTTTTCCGACAACCCAATAGTTGTGGGGGCGGGGGGGGGGCGCAGCCCACCATCCCATACGAGAGTCGAACCGGCAACCTTGTTGCACACTGAGCCATCCAACTGCCCATTGGCAGCTTGCCACTGCTCAGCTCAAGGTGCCATGTTCATTCTTAGTTGTGGGGAGGCGCAGCCCACCATCCCACACGGGTGTCGAACTGGCAACCTTGCTGCTAAGAGCATGTGCTCTCACCAGCTCAGTGGCAGCTCAGCTCAGGCAAAGCTCACTGGCCCATGTGGGAATTGAACTGGCGACCCTGTTGCTCAGAGCTCGTGCTCTTAACCAACTGAGCCACTCATCCAGTCCCTGTTGTTTTTTTTCAATTACCGTTGATATACAATATTATATTAGTTTCAGGTGTACAACATAGTGATTAGACATTTATACAACTTACAAAGTGATCTATCTGATACCATACACAGTTATTACAATACTATTGACTATATTCCCTATGCTGTACTTTACATCCCCATGACTATTTTTATAACTGACAATTTGTACTTCTTAATCCCTTTTCTTTTTTCACCCATCCCGCCAACCCCCCTCCCAGCTGGCGACCATCAAAAGGTTCTCTGTATCTATGAGTGTTTCTGTTGCAATTAATGTGGCTTTAATTTGAGAAGTTTAGTTGAGTTCAGTAACCATAGATTGCTAACATGGCTGAATATAATTTCAAAAGATGGACTTTCAAAAGTATTCCTAATATACCGGAGGTGCCAAAAAAAATGTACAGCACCCTCTATATATGAGGAAAAATCTGCCACTGAGTCATGTATAGAATGTGGTCACTGCCCATGGCTACTTTTTGCTTTTTCAAGGCGAGTAGGCCCTGGGGAAAGAAGTCAGGGGATTGTGGGGATGGGGGGTGGCAGCGGTAAGTGGTGGAAAAATGTTACAGATGCTTAAATAGCATGCATGCTAAACCATTGAAGTCCTGTGTGAGGGAAATAAAGGGTCAGGAGAACCCATGGAGAAAAGTGATAAAGGGAACATGTAGTCAGACCAGGAGAAGGAGAAGAAGAAAGCATTTTGAATTTGATAACATTTAATGGGGTGAAATGCTGTTATAGAACATTTTGAAGTAGAACCACAGCTTTGCTATAACTGTAAAAATGGTAAAAATATACAGGTTGTATAGAATGTCTAAAAGGCTGCCTTTGCCATGACATGATGTCATTTGTCTTTCAAGAAATAATTTTGTATTTTTAAGGACTTTTTAGAGTTTTAGATTTTCAGTTTTAACATCAATGCTACTGAAAAACGTGACACCCACATTTGTTAGAAATGCTAATTCTTGTGCCACACCCCAGACCTACTGAGACAGAAACCCTGGGGGTGGGGGCTGGTACTTTGTTTAATTAGACCTCCAGGGTTTCTGATGTGCACCCTGGGTTTGAGAACCACTAATTTGAATCACATAAGAGGGACACCAACTCACACTCCATCATCCTCTCTTATGGATAGCAGTGTTTACAGTGAGGTTCCAGGGCAGAATTTTTGATAGATACTTTTTACTAACTGCTGTTTTTCAGGGCAGGAACCCGAAGGAGGCGGGCAGAAAGAATGTTCCTATTGTAAAAGGAGAGGGAATTTTTCTTATAAGTAAACAAAATGAAACATGATCTAGGGTGTTGCTTCTAGAACCTGGGGGAAAGCAGTTCCTTGTGGGTAGTTACCTTAGTCTGCCCTTCTGTCTATACCACATCAACTTGCCCACAGAGCACTGACTGGAGACAGCATTCCACGTTCTTGTCATGCTGTCGTGACTAGAGGATGGTGGTACAGGCACAGATGTCTTTAATTTCGTTTCTTTCTGTCCACTCCTCGTTCTGTGTCAGGAATACACTTCCCTCAAGCTCCTTCCACACAGTGACCTTGTTTCCATAGTAACCAGTACGTTCAGCTGGAGACTTATACATGACTTTGAATAACCCAAGGATTTAACTGTGAGAACCTAAGGAAGATGATCTCACAAAGCATACACAGAACAGTTTCTTAATGCAAATAAAGAAACTGTGACTTGATATGTGCACTTGTACATGACATATATTGGTTAAATGTATTGCTATAAAAAATTTACTGGATGCTAATTGTTGTATGAGGTTAATGGTGATCTACTATGAGTAGTTGGAGAAAATAGTTTCAAATTAAAACATATGAGGTTTTTGAGGGAATGAAGACCTTTATTGTCTGGGTAAAAATTCACTGTGGTGGCCTGCTGGGCAGATTGTCTAGTCTGACTTGGGAGAATCAGAATAATGTCTTTCTTGCTGCATCAGGCTGAATTAGTTCCTTTGTTCTCTGTGTGCCCACATGCTTTGCTGATCACACCTCTAATAATAACAGTATTACTACTAATAAAAAGCAATTTGTGGTTATGATGTGATAACTACTTTACAGTACTTAATCTCAATTAATTCTCAAAGCAACTTCATAAAGTAGATAATATTATTGTACCCATTCTTCCCATGAGGAAACTGAAGCTCAGAGAGACTATACAATTTACCCAAGCTCACGTAGCTGGTATTTAGTTGAACTAGAATTTGAATCTACAGAAGTCTGACTTCTGGAGTTCACTTTTCTTGCCACAGAACCTGTACTTATCACAGTGTATGGCAATTACCTGTGTATGTAATTGTGCTCTCCCTCCTTGAGGGTAGGGACTAACTTCATTGCTTCCATCAGAGTTAGAATAGTGCTTGCTACATACTTGGGGCTCCATAAATATTTGTCCAATAAGAGAAGGAATGCATGAATAAGTGAGTAAATAGAATCAATATTCACCCTTCTAGTTCTTAATGATGGATAGAAGAGATAGGATAGAAGAGAATAGCCTACCAGGAAGGCTATTATCCCAGACTTGTGCTATTCATAACCATATAGCATCCAAAATTCATGGTTTAACCTTAACCTCTGACTTGTTTCAGATAGTCTATGTGCTGGCACCGTCAATCATTTTTTGCTCTTTAAACAATTTTCCCCGCAATAAAAATAAGCCTTCAAATCTCCCCCAACCACAAGACTATAGCTTTAGCTGTTTTTGAGATTTTTGGTAGGTATGTAGCCCTGGGCGAGCCATTCATTTTCTTAGTCAACAGACATTTACTGAGTACCACTATGTGCCAAGCATGGATCTAAGAGCTTGAGACACATCAGTGAACAAAACAGACACAAAGCCCTACCTTCGTAGAACTTACATTCTAGTTGGGGGAGGCAGAAAATAAATAGTAAAGATAATACATAGGTACATTCTGTAGTATATGGAAGGTATTAAGTACCATGGAAAAAATAAAGAAGATAGTAAGTTGCTATGAAAAGAATAAAGAGGAACTGGGAGTGTGGGATTGAGAGGAACCGCCATTTCATTTTTTAATGGTGTGGTCTGGATGGACCTTACTGAGGAGAGGGAACATGTTTTGGCAGAAGGACACTTGGTGTAAAGGGCCTGGAGCAAGGAGCAGGTTTGGGATGTGCAAGGAACAGCCAGGAGGCTGACACCGATGGAATAGATGAGTAAAGGGCAGAGTAGAGAGATTAAGAGAGGTAATGGGGGATCAGATAACACAGGGCCTTGTAGACCACTGTAAGGATTCTTTTGACTTTGAATGATAAGGGGAGCCAATGGGAGACCTGAACAGAGGAGTGACTTGATCTGATTTACATATTAAAAGAATCACTCCAGATGTCTTGTTCTGAGTAGACTGTACGAGGGCAATGGTGGAAGTAAAGCCGAGGTAAGAGGCTACTACAATAGTCCAAGAGAAACATTATGATGGCTTGGATCTGGGTGTGTGCCATGGAAGTGATGAGAAATAGTGGATTCTGGAAATATTTTTGAAGGTCGAACCAATAGGATTTCCTGACAGATTGGGTATGAATTGCAAAAGAATAGAGGAGTAAAGGATGAATCTCCAAGTTTTGGCCTGGGCAACTAGAAAGATGGAGTTGCCATCTACTGAGATGGGAAAGACTGTAGGTAGAGTAGGTTTGGGGCAAGAGCAGTTCAGTTTTGGAACAAATTAAGTTTGTGATGTCTATTAGATAACAAGTGGAGATACTGAGTTCGTCAGTTGGAAATATGACTTTGGGGTTTGGGAGAGGTCTACACTACAGGTAGAAATTTGGAAGTCATCAACATGTAGATGGTATTTAAAGCCTTGAGACTAGGAGAGATTGCCAAGGGAGTGAATAAACACAGAGAAGTGGATAACCAAGTTATTCCTTGTTATCCCTGGGACACCCCAAATAAAGAGGTTGAGGAAAAGAGGAGGAACCAGCAAAGGAAACTGAAAAGCAGCAAACAAGGAGGTAGGAGCAAAACCAAGAGAATGCAGGATCCTGGAATCCAAGTGAAGCAAGAGTGTCACAGAAGAAGGAATGATCATTTGCTGCTTGGTCAAGTTAGACACAAAAATGAACCACTGGCATTGGCGCTGTGGAGATCATTGTGGACCTTGACAAGAGCAGTTTAGGTAGTGCAAACCTGATGGAACTGGATTTAAAAGAGAATGTGAGAAGAATTCAAGACAGTGATTATGGATAACTCCAGGCTGTGTGTGGAAAAAGTTAAGACATAGCTGCTGGACCTAGGAATTTATCACTTGTTTTCAGACACTGGGAATAAACACACCAAAAAAACAGCCAAGAATACAAGTCTATACAATGCTAAATTGGGCGCCACAGCTTATAGTCTGTGCAGGAGGTGTGAGTAGGTGGTCAGCTGGAAGGGCAGCCATGGTCAAGGAGAGCTCTACTGATTGGGCCCAAATGGGTGGACAGGACCCTGGGTAGCACAAGAAAGGATGAGGGTGTGCCCTGGGGGAGGGGATGACACCAAGTGAAAGGTCTAGAAGCAGAAATGAGCACAGAATGGAACGGTCAATGAAGTGGCTTCTGTGACTTGAGTAGAAGAGTAAGTTATAGGTAGTCATGACAAATGTGTGTGTGTTTGAACCTTGACTCTCAGTGGCCTAGAAAGCCAGATTGAACAGAATAAATGGCATAATAGGAAGCAGGGAAAATGCCAAAGTTTTTAGAGTACTAGGAGTATTGTGATAAAGAATATTTAGAGAAGTTTGATAAATTAGCTTAATAGTCAAGGAAATATCTGCAGATACTTGCAATGTTTTTCGAAGTGTGCACTAAGGACCACTTCATCAGAATCTCTTGGGGGAGCTTTTTAAAAGTGCAGGTTTCTGGAGATATAAGCTAACTAGTGAATCCATATCTCTGGGGGTGGGACTCTGTGTTCTATATATTTAACAAGCTCCCCAGGTGACTTTTATACATGACAAAGTTTATGAACTGCTGGTCTGAATATTTTGTTTGAGCAGATTATGCTCCTGATTGATGAGCTCTCCAGAACACTAGAATTAGGTGAAAAAATGGCATATTAAACATGAGAAATCCACACTTAACATATACACTTATAAATTTATGTAAGTTTAGTTTACAGGAGCATTCATTTGTCCTGACATTTGACCTCATTCAGTTGTTTCAGTGATAATTCAGGCATCTGTAAAAGTTATGGATCTGTCATGAGAGAAGGTTACCAAATCTTTTCGTTACTTGTAAATGCAATTATGTACCAGAGAAGATGGTTGACAAGGTATAGCTGCACCCTGCACTGTATGAGGTCTGTCTAAAGCCTGGGAAAACAGGAACTAAGAAAACAGAGCTATGGAGATCTGGCTGTTTTGCCCAGACTGCCCTGGGGCTAGCCTTCTAAATTGCTACTTTTCATCTCACATGAGGCCTCAAACTGGGAATCTTGGCGCCATGCTTTTTCAGTCCTGCTCCCTTGGACAATCTGAGAAAGGGGCAGAGAAAAACACTTTCTGCCTCTGCAAATTGGAAATGTTCTTTGTTTTTGCTTTTCTGTTTTTGTTTTAAATCACTGTGACCACAAGGAAAGAATGAATTTTAGCATAGGAGAATTTGAAAGCAAGGACCTCACTTCTTAGAGTTGTGACAAGGAAGTGACGAAGTACATGGTTTATTTTACTCTATGCCTCCTTGGGGTACTGATTTTGATTATCAAAGGCCTCTGCAAAGGTTTAGGATTTGTTACATAGTTCACATTTCACCAGCTGATATCCACAGACATGCTTCTGCTGACAGACCATAAATTAATTTCTTCAATGACAAGGCAATCAGCTTTGGAACTTTTGATTCTAGACTTTGATCCCATCTTCAGTCTACTAGATTATTCTATTCATGCATAGAATTCTAAATGCAAATTTCAATCTATATGGATCTTATAACAACTTTCTACAAACTTTTACTGAGTACTTAAAATGTAAAAAGTGTTATATTAGACAACGGTTAGTGAGATCCAGTCCTAGCCCTCAGAAAACAGACTTATAATGGCTGCTTACAATATGGATGATTAGTGAAATAATATTTAATATAGCATTTGAAAGGGGAAAGCTGATTATTTCCTTGACGGGAGTTGGGGAACACTGGAGAGCTGGGGGAATGACTCAGGAAGGAGAGGATGTGGGGCTAGAAGAAAAGAAATGGGCATGAGAAAATGGGAGGTGGCTCCATGTACCCGTGGAGCACACCTGCTGGCATGCTCATGCTCGGGCACTGAGGGCTAGGTGCTGTTCTTTTTGCTGACATGATTGTTGTGATTGTTGATTAGCTTCGGGAGTAAGGAACAACCGTTTAATGCAGCTGGTTTGAGTAGTGTGTTTATGACATTTATTTTGGGTACATTTTCCCAATGTGTTACCCTGGACATCTAAAGAATAAGTGATATTTTAATACATCAATAAAATTCATCTGCATATAGATTTTAAAGCCTTAGTAAGAAGATAGTTGAACTTTTTCAACTTCAGAGAGTTTATCCTACTATCTTAAAACCATAGCACACCTGGGGGATGGGGAGATGGGTGAAATGGGTGAAGGAGGGGGTCAAAAGGTACAAACTTCCAGTTATAAGTAAGTCTGAAGGATGTAATGTACGGCATGGTGACTATGGGTAACAATACTGTATTGATTTTTTGAAAGTTGCTAAGAGTAGATCTTAAAAGTTTTCATCACAGGAAAACAGTTTTGTTAACTGTGGTGACAGGTGTTAACTAGACTTATTGTAGTGATAATTGTGCAATATATGCATATGCAAATATTGAATCATTATCTTGTACATCTAAAACTAATATAACATTATATGTCAATTATACCTAAATTTAAAAAAATCCATAGCACACCTTTTGCAGATTTTATTTTACATACATAATGTGTAGAAGATTGCTTGTATAATGCTGTAACCCTCATTTCTTCTCCGTTTAGCTATGGCGACGAAAGCAATATACTCCGGTTCTTAGCAAAACTAATCACAAGCCAATATGCCAGCTTGGACAGGCTGTTTATTATTTCATATTTTCTCAGTGATGACACGATTTCGGTGTTTGAGCCCACAGATAAGAATTCAGGTAAGAGACATACCTCTCATAGCAATTTCCTCAGAACAATTAACTGTCTCTTCATTTTGAAAATTAGGGAGTATGATCTGATTTTATAGCCTAGATCAGGGGTCGGCAAGCAGTGGCTCGCAAGCCACATGTGGCTCTTTGGGTACGTACCTGTGACTCTGAAGTAAAATTGAAAATGAAAATGGAAGTTATAGTTTCATTTATAAAAATTTTAAAGGATATTATTCACATAATGGTGACTTCATTTAGTTTTATAGGTCTCCCAAAACTTTGAGGGACGGGATTGGCTCTTTCATCTGAAAAGTTTGCCGACCCCTGGCCTAGATGACCTAAGATAGTCGCTTTCACTTTTTTAACCACTAAAGTTTATTTTACAAAGATGTCTAAATGGGGACCCAGACATAAAATGAAAAAAGTGGAACAGTTTTGGTTGGCTCAGGTCTGGGAGACTTGGGACACCTCCTTTTGGACATTATCCATCCTTCTGTGGCCTCAGGCACCTCTATGGAATCCAAGGGCTTCAAAATCATGGGCTGGCTACCATCAATTGCACTTACAGCCAACAAGACAAGAGGGAATCTGTGTTCTTGATAGTATTGCTTACAAAATTTTTTCTTAACTAAATGACAAGAACCCCAGATTAACAAATTTAATCTTCAGAGTCCATCTTCCTTTGACTCTTTTGTCTGTTGAGGCTGTTGCCAAGTTTCCAGCACCCAGGCCCATGGAGTGCCCTCTACAGTGTGCTGATACCATGGCCCTTGCTGAGGAGAGCCATTGATTTTGACTTACCAAATTATGGAACTGCAGGGCTGTGTTCTTTGTCCCAACATGTTTAAAACTTTTGTTTGTGCTGAAGACACATGTTTGGGAAGAATAATCAGTGGTGTGCTGGTTGCTGGTTAACTGGCTCTCTGAAAAAAATTTAAAGGCCCTAATTTGTACCATTTGCCAATTTCTGTGGTGTAAATACCCCAGCCATGCCAATTTCAATTTCAAGCAACCAACAGTTTAACCACTGGCTTGCAAAATCCCTGAAAATTGAACAGTCAGCCCTTATGAGCTGGTATGAGTCACTCAGCTAATGAATAATGAATAATTTGTGTAATTAAATCAGGCTCCACAGTGATTTGAATAATGGATCAAATCTTAAAATATGAAACAAATAGGGATGAATATCAAGTCATGCCCTTAAAGGTCAAAAAATCAACTCTATACATCTAGAATTGGGAAGCTATAACCAATCCAGTTGCAGCATGTGTAAAACAGAAAGAGCACTGGTAGTTAACTACGTGCCTACTAGTAATAATAGCAGCCATGATTGAATACCTACTGTTATCCTTACATGAACTTTATGAGGTTAAGCTGTTGTTAGTCCAGGTCCTCTAAGAAGCAAACCCCAGGATGGGCTTAAATGTGCAAGAGATTTATTAGGGGAAATGCTTGTGAGGGAAAATGTGGAAGGAGCCGGAAGATGCCAGGAGAGCTGTCAGACTGCAGTGTATGCCTGACTCTTGCAAAGGATGGAGGGAAGACAGAAAGGGAGAGGTCTTAGACTGCAGGGAAATTCTAAGAAAGTTTCAGCAAGGCTGGCCTGGAATCCTAGAGCCAAAGTCAGTAGTTGGAGGAGCTCCCATACTGCAAAAATGGACCTGCCTTGGTATCCCTGCCTTGCTTAGTCATTTGTTGGCAGTAGCCTGTGGGATGCATGACCTTGGCAGAAACTTGGGGATAGATTTCAGAATATAGCAGCTGGGGCCTTACATCACCTGTGTTCCCCACAGTAGGTGATCTGAGAGGTACATTTTCATAGCCCCCACAAATTTTATTCTCATTTTACGAATGAGAATTCAGAGAGGTACAGAGATTAAATAACTCCTAAAGATCACCGAGCAAGTGACACAGGCAGGATGGACTCCAGCTCTATTTGGCTCCAAAGCCTAGTCTTTCCAATACTTGTGGTTTCTGAATATGGTAGGAAGAGTGTGATGAAGCTGACCCTACAAGCTCATCTGGTCTCAGGTTGTAGTCATAGGTCTGAAGATTTCGGTTCACTATCAGAAGATACTGGAGTCCACATGTTCAACTCTGCTCACTGCTTCCCAAGACGTCAAAAACCAAATAATGCCCAGAAGAGAGCAGATGAAATGGTGAGAATTCTGGAAAGCAAGAAATATGAGGCATTGCTAAAAGAAGCAAAGATATTTTACCTATAGAAAAAAAGAATTAAGGGGATTCCCATTGTTAGCCTCCAACAATTAAGTAAGCTCCTTTCCAGAAGTGGGGCATCTTACACTTAATCTGCATGCCAGAATAAGTGTAAGACATCATCTGGCACGCATGCGTGGAAATAAACTCAAGTGAGGAATTTTCTACCTGGTACTGTTCAAACATGCTCTAAAGATGAGTATTTTCCTGATGTCCCAGTTCCCAGTATGCTGCTGGACATATAGCAGGTACTTGCTAAATGTTTATTCAAGTGTTTGGATTGGGAAAGGGAGTAGTGAGAGGAAAGAAAAAGCTGGAATGCCATACCACTTTTTTCTTTGCACACTCACCTAGGAAGTCTCATTTCTTCACCCATTGTCTCATTCTTCCCTTTAGTCTGAGAATAATAGGCAATATGAGTTCATGGCTAAATTGTATGGTCTGTTTTTGACAAAGAAGTAACTCTAAAGGCAAGTTATATGGTTCTTTTAAGAATACAGGCTACTCATTAACTTTTTTCTTTTTCTATAGGGAATGCTGGTGGGAAGTTTTTTTTATTATTGGTTTCAGGTGCATGAAAACAACATAATGATTAGACATTTACACCCCTCACAAAGTGATAACCCCAACGAGTCTACTACCCCTCTGACATCGTATATAGCTGTTACAATAACATTGATTATATTCCCTATGCTGTACTTTACATCCCGTGACTATATATATTTTTAAATTATAGTTGACATTCAATATTATCTTATATTAGTTTCAGGTCTACAGAAGTTCCTTAAAAGAATGCGTGTTAAGAAGCATGGACAAAAAGTCTTTAAAAGTGAACCATCAGAATATATCAAGGTCCAGGACCTGTATATTGGAGCCCAAGTGATTGTGAATGGCTATATGTTTCTCTTACTCAGTGCTGATGAGTACACCTTACAATTCATGGAGAAAAATGCAGATGAGGTGAGCTTACTTTGTATAGTTCTTGTCTTGTCTCTCAGCACGCTGCAGTGTGTGTTTTTCTTTCTCTAGGCCTTTTCTTCTTCATCTTGCCACCCGTTTTACATTGTGCATTCACACATGTGGGCATGAATAATGGATCCGTGCAACTTGGCCACAGGTCCTGTCACAGAGGCCAGGTCCCGGTCTACTCTGTTTACACGCTAGGTCTTTCGCTGCCCAGCATTACGGATGCCAGGCACAGGCAGGAGGCAGGCCCAGAGTTGAATCAAGTTTCCTGGTTTTCTGCTGACACCAACAATGTTTTCAGAAAGAAATTCAGCAACTATAGGAAAGGAAGAAAATCTGGTGCCACACACTGTGCCGTCCCAGTTAATTGGCACAGGCCTACTGGGAAGGCCAAGACCTGAACAAACAGAAACCCCAAGGGAACCCAATAGTTGCTGGGGTTGCAACTTCCCATAACAGGAGCCACCTGAGGCCTAAATAAGAATTCAAGGACAAATTGGCAACAGTGAACTCAGAGTTTTTTCATTTGAAATAAGATGGCAGATGGGTTGTGTTACTAAAAGTACTATTATGGCAGTGCTGTTCAGTAAAAATCACATATTGATAAAAGCTTGATATGAAGTGTGGACTAGATTGGTATACAAACATGTATATTTGAGAGTCATTGCCTAATATTGAAAAATCTATCTAGAAACTATTTTAAAAATCTGGCTGTAGGAAATAATATTTATGTGCATAGATGATAGCTAGCTAGCTAGCTAGCTAGATAGATAGATAGATAGATAGAACGAGAACCAGCTCTGTTTTATTTATATATAAAATGCTCAGAGGTAAGTTGCTAAGATCAGTCTCTGTGTATACCACATCATCCGTGTCAGTTTGGGTCCTCTGAAAAGCGGGTGCCAAGACAGAATTAGATGTGTAAGAGATGTATTGGAAGAAACGCATATAAAGGACAAAGGCAAGAGGGAGCAGGAGTAGGTGGGGAGACAAAAGATGCAGGTCTGACCCCTGAGAAAGGAGAGGAAAGGGAGGAGGATGGGGTATGAAGAGCCTCAGATGCAGCTCTGAGAAAGTCGGCCAGGCCGATGGGGAGCCCAGAGCAAAGACTGCCCATCAGAGAAGTCCCGTGTCAGGCAGGATGGCCTAGCTCTGGTACTCCGGCCCTGTTGTCATTGGTCGGAACAGACTGGGGAGTGTGTGGCCTCGGTAGGAATGCTGCACTGATCCTGAAGGTACAGCAGCTGAGCACTGTCAGTGAACAGTGCTTTTCTCTGCGCAGTCTCTCTGACATTCCAGGACTGCCACATCATCTCTCATTTGCAGTGTTAGGAATTTGGGTTATTGTAAAACTGTGAACAGGTATCTCTTCAAAAGCACTGAATTCAGGTGAGAGGCTCAATAACAGGGTAGACACATTTCTGGAGACGAGTGGGCTTGTCCGTGAAACCTGACTCCACACTTAATATTTGAGACGCCTTAGGTGTAACTTTACTGAGCTTCACTTTCCTCATCTTTGAAATGGGAGTAGCAACAGTGCCTCATTTATAGATTTGCTGTGAAGATTAGATGAGATAATGTGTGTGAAGTGCTTGGCTCTATGTGGCCTATAGCAAGCTCAGTCATTGTCCAATTTACAATAGCCATTGTACATTAGGGCTTGATTTTCAAACACAGGGTCAGCCTATACCTTCATATAAAATACAGTTGACCCTTGAACAACATGGCGGTTAGGTGTGCTGACCCCTCTACACAGTAGAAAATCTGAGTATAACTTTTGACTCCTCTAGAACTTAACTACTAGTAGCCTACTGTTGACTGGAAGCCTTACTGATGAATAACAGAAACAGTCAGTAAACACATATTTTATATGTTATATGTATTATATACTGTATTCTTACAATAAAGTAAGCTAGAAAAAAGAAAATGTTATTAAGAAAATCATAAGGAAGAGAAAATACATTTACAGTATTTATTGAAAAAATTTACATATAAGTGGAGCCTTGCAATTCAAACCAGTGTTATTCAAGGGTCAACTACACACACACACACACACACACACACACACACACTTTTTGTTTTTTTATTTTTTAAATTTACTTTTCAATAACACTTGACATACAATAATGAATATATATATTTTAAGCTATAAAGGGCTTTTTTTCTTTCAGAAGGTAAAAGAAGGTTAGGACATTACCTGGTATCAGCATCCCAAGTGAAAACTGCATTATTTTAAAACTGCCCTTAACAAGGACATTCTAAGCAGCGAAAGATTAATATACTCTGAGGAGTCTTTTTCAAAAGAGCTAATAGATCCTATCATGGAAATAGATTAAAGGAAATGCAAAAAAAAAAGGGAAGGAATGGGGAGCTGCAGTAGATGCCAAACCCCCTGGTGGAAGAGAGGGAGCTTTATACTAAATTACCATCAGAGTTTTTTATTTTCATATATAGTGTTCTCATTTTTTAGCTCATAGCTGTAATTATTTACAACCCGATGCTTTATTGGGTTTAATAAAGAGTATTCTTGCTGAATGAAAAACCAAATCACAAAGAAGGAGACAGAAACAGGGAGCTGCCTGGAGAGTGAATGTAAGGGGATTGCAGTGTGTGTGTGTACCTTTGACACCAACCTTGCTCTGCTCAGTGTATCACAAGGTGGCCAACAAACAGTTCCAGGGGCCCACTCTAAAGATCTGGAGAAAATGGGAGTCCCCTCATCAAATTTTGAATCCCCATTCTGTCCATTAGTGTCTCCCAGCATACAGCACCAGTGTCTAAGAGTTAAAGGGAGGAAGCTGCTGTGGTGGAAGCAGGCATTGTTTTTTGATTCCTGTAGCCTGCTGTCCCTTAAGCTCATTTCTCTCAGATTTGGGCCTATGCTAATGTCACCCCTTGTCCTAAAGCCTCAACTGAAGAGATGCAAATTTAGTCTTGTCTTCTCTGAGTTGATCTCTATGGAAAGACATGCCCCGCTAACTTCAGATTCGCAGTGTGAAGTCTCTTTCCCGGCCATCAGAAAGATTGGGCTCCCTATGTTTCAGGCATTTTTAAATGTCTTTCCCTTCTTTTCCCCTTCCAGTTTCCTTTGAGCAAACTTGAACTTGTCCTAGAAAAGCTGAAAGAAAAACCATTAAATTCCAGAGACATCATGCTGGTATTTAGGGCTGCTGACCCTGGGGACACAAAGAAGATGGATTATAATACATTCAGGTAAGCCATATTCTGCTCGCAATAACCTGTTTTCCTCTCAAGATTGTTCAAATAGCAGAAAGAACAGTTTCCTCCCTAGTGCTTCCTAATTAATGCTCCATACTTTTTATTAGAAATTGGCACTTCTTTGGGTTTGTATTACTTTGTAGTCCAGTTTTGCCCACTTTTAGTAGATCTTATGTATTTGCTTAGTAAAGAAACTTATATGTGAGAACAGAGAGACAAAAGCATAGAAAGTCAATTGGTCACATTGCCTTGTGAATCACGGTGTTGAAGGATCAGGGGAATGTTGGGAAGGGTGCCTCTGAGTGAGAAAGGCAGAAAAAAATGCAGCTAAGAGCACACCTCCAAAATCTGGGCAATCCTTAAGAATGTGACCCAGTTGGAAAAGATAGTGGAAACTTTACTGAGTATTAGAGAAAAGGTGGAATGTATGAGTCTGTATATATATGTCCACACACATCTGTATATTTTGAAAGGCATAAGAATATAGAAATCAAGGGAAAATATATGATAGTAGTTAAAATATCCTAAGAAGTCATGAACAATAAAGATTTTCTCTAAGGTAAAGCTGAATTCTGGGACTGTCCAGTGAGTGGCTGACCTAGGCAAATTTCCAAACAGCGGAAACACAGGGAAATTCAAATTCAGGGTCTAGTACAATTGTGAAGCTTCTCTTAGCGTGAAAACAAAGTGAATGGAGCCTTCAAGAGAATGTAAATTAAATCATGGATGGAGGACAAAGGGGACTTTCTCTTTAGGCTGAGAATTCTGGCTCCTGAAAACAATAGTGGCTAAAAGCTGTATAGGAAACTTGGCTTGATGCAGTCAAGATGTGGGCTGAGAAATGAGGAAGTGAGCCCAGGAAAAGGGTGGCAGGGAGGGTTCCAACTTTGTGCCTGAAGCTACCTATTGCATCAATACCTGGTGACCTGAGCCCATCATAAGGCCCAAAGCGTCCCAAAGCTCATTTGTTGTTTTAACAAAGCTCTTTTGTTTTTCCAAAATATTCTTTTGAGAGAAGCAGTCAGAGGATATATTTTTATTGTTTAGAATCCCCAACCTTCTGGGATCAATAAGAATTTACACAGTTCTTTGTTATTGTTCATAGTAGTACACATGTTCATGGCCTTTGGAAAAATAAATGGTGACGGAGTAAAGAACAAAGACAATTGCTCAGGCCATGGATGTTAAGCAGTGGCGGAGAAAACAGATTTCCACCAGAAATGAAGGGAGTGGTTTTGTTTTATTATTTTGTGTCCTTTTATGAAAGCGTCCGTTCTCTCAACGCTCCAGCAAAGTCTATTGGAAACACTTTAGAGAGTTTATGGGGCTTGTGGGGAAGCACTTTGGCCAAGCAGGAGATCCAAGAAAGAAAAGTTGCTCCGCAGATGGAGGCCTGACCCTAGTTGCGGGTGGACTAGAGGACCACTACATTGTGTGATTGGAGGATGGTCCCAAGGCACTCCAGGCTCGGAAAGAAGCCACTCCTGATCTTTAGGCCTTCTCTTGGCCAGAAATTCCTTAAGATGAAAATCAGATCAGGTCATGACTGCGTTGCAAAACCATTCAGTGGCTTGCTGTTGCCCTTACAATAAGATCCAAATATTTTACTGCAGCTGGCAGGGCCTTGAGTGATGCGACTCTATGTTTACATTTCCAATGTCATCACTTCTTTTTCTCCAGCCCTGTCCTCTGGCCTTGCTGGCTATCACTCAGTTTCTCAAACACTTCAAGCTCTTTCCCGCCTCTAAGCCTGTGCAAACACAGTACCCTCTGTTTGGAATGTCTGTACTACCATCCTTTCATGGGAGACTCTGGGATTCATCTTAAATGTCACTTCCTCAGATGGACTCACTTTCTGACTATCCTACCTAAGGTAGATCACTCACTTATTCTTAGCCCCTTGTTTATATTTTTCGTAGCACAACTTACAGTTACTTTACTTAGGTATCTGTACTTGGCGTGTGTGTGTGTGTGCTTGTGTGGGTCTTTTCCTATTAGAATATGAGCTTTCTGAGGGGCAGGGACCTTGATGGCCCTGTTCACTGCTCTATTCCTGGTACCTAGTTCTAGGGTCAGTATATTACAGTGCTGAAGGTCCGGCTGCTTCACCACACAAAAGCCAAAGTTTGAGAGACAAGGCTGGTGGAAAGAGAAGAAGGTGTATTCAAAATGCCGGCATTCTGGGAGGATGGTGGACTCCTGTCCCAAAGTCATCTCCCTCTCTCACCCCCCAACCCCCATGGCCAAAAGTTTTTATAGGCATGTAGGGAGAGGCAGAACAGAGGAAAAAGGGGATGGGGTGGAGAGGTGGTCTTGGCTTGGAGTAAAGATAGTCACTGAAAAGGTGCTTCCCAGAGGCTGGTTTGTTTCAGGGATAGGAGTAGATCTTATGCAGATGTAAAAACTTGATTCAAGTCAGTGTCCTGGAGGTTTCCTTGAGGAAACAGGGTCATTGAGCCTGGTATGCATACAGTCTGGTGTCAACAACATTGGAAACTGGTATGCATAGTCAATGTAGAGTAAACAGAGTCTTTAAGGTTCGGCGGGAGGGGAGGGAAGCAAAGAAAAATTTTAAAAAATTCCAAAAGCTCCAAGCTAAGCTACACCGTTAAATCGAATTACACTAGAGGGTTAAATCTCAAAACAGAAGATACAGTGTCACCCTTGCAAGTACGTATCATAGTTCCTCAGTGGAATAACAACCTACTAGAGTTACTCTTAGGAGTTCCAGTTTGGAGGTGATAGCATTATCTCCAGATGAGCGTGTAGACCAGAAGTCAAGTCATCCCAGTCCATGTGACGTGCTCCATGTTGGGCACTGTGCCCTCTGTGATTGGCCCACAACTGTGAGTCCCTGGTACGTGGTCTTCAGCCCTCCTGTTTGCTCCTCACACTCTTTCCTGGGCAAATTCAAAGGAACTACATAGCTAGTTGTCATTGTACCACACCTTATAATTCTATGCTTGCTAATATTTTTCTTTTCTTTATATGTGTATGTATGTGTGTATATTCTGGCTCTTCTCACCAGAACAGAACCTCTTTGAGGACAGGGACCTTCTCTTGTTTTCTGCTCTAGCCTTAATCCCTTTTTCACAGTGCCTGGCTGATAGTAGGATGTTGATAAATGTTTGTTAAGTGGCTACATTTTATCCAGCCCTCACTGCTCTGGCTGTCAGCTGAAAGCTGGGTTCTCCATATTAGACCCTCAAGCTCGGACCTTTCTGCTGAACTATAGACCTGGAGATATGAATGCCTCCGGGACATCTCTCCCTTGGTTGTCCCTTAGGCATCCCAAAATAATTTCCTCTAAATTGACCTCATTTTCTTCTCCCATAAAGTTGCAGCTGGGGACTCTCTCTTGGTAGAGACCACCATACTTGTCCCCAGGGCCTGGACCAGGGTTTGCCTTTTCCCTCCCCTCTCCCCTTTCTTGACCTCTCCCAACCTCTTGAAATTGCACTTCTTAAACTGCCTTGTTCCATTCCCAGCTTCACTTTTGCTGTTCAGCTTTTCATCACTGTTCACTTGTACTCTTTTGAGAGCTACATAACTGGTCTCCTTTTCTTAACTCTCATATTCCAAAGTTTTGCCAAAGCGACCTTCTTAAAATTTGATATGTCGTCCCTCTGCTCTAAACCCTGCATCAGCTCCTCGTTGTCTTCAGGGCAAATCCCACTGGTCATGATCTGACCCTTGCCTGTACCCCTCTCTTTATTTTCATCTCACTACAAAATTTGAAGGAGTCACCATTTATTGAATACTTACATTGAGCCAGACATCATGCTAAATGCTTTTCATCTACTATCCATTGGTAGCCCCTGTTGAGTTATTTGTTTACTTCCCTGCCTCCACAATTGGCTCCTGCCAAGTACAATAGATGTTTGTTGAATAATTTAATGAATGGTCCTATTTCTCAAGGAACATTCAGTCTACAGTTTGCAGCAAACAAGTAAATAATTGATTACCTTGCATCGGGGAAGGGCAATCTGTCTCTTACTGTAGGGGAGTCAGGGATAGCTAGGCCTCTCTCACCCTTACAAGCCAAGTGACTTGGGCAACTGACTTCACCAATGTGAGCCTCACTCTTTGTCTATATAATGGTCTCTAAGGCCTGTTCCAGGCGCTGATATTCTAAAACTCTTAAAGTGTAGCTTTATATATACACTTTTAAAATGTCCCCTTTTCAAATCCGTGCATTGAAATAGAGCAGGCAGGCAGGCAGAGGCAGGACTGCGGCTAAGTCTCTGGGCACCACCTCTGTGGCTCTGATTCTCTCCCCTGCTTACATACCTGGCACTCGCAGTCTTCACTTGGGGACCCAGAGCCCAGACTTGCTGCTCTGGCCAGTGGTCCAAGCCCTGGGCATTTTTCTTCTCAGAGATTTGCACCTTTTCTAAGGGAAACCTTCAGGGTGGTGGCTAATAAACTATCTCTGCATAAGGTGCCAGGGTTGATAATGGATTAATATATCCTTCCTGAGATATTTGCCTCAAAATGGACCGGAAGGAATGCAGGGATGGGAAATAGAGGCAGTTTGGGGAGGGGATGTTTCTCTTCTGCCTTGTGGGGGTCACTAGTTCTGCCAGTAGGCTGGACCTATTTCTCTGGGACCCTTTTTTCATGGTCTGTCAGATTGGCCTATCAGAACAGCTGCTAGATATCAAAGAGTGTGGAGAGTCTTTCTCAGAACATCAGATACCTGAAGGGCAGATTTCAGCAGGGAGCCAGGCAGGGACTAGGCATGGCAGGGCTAGTGTTTCGTGCGATTGGGAACATGGGCAGGGTGAGGCTTCCCAGTCTGGGCCCTGGATTCTGAACCACAGGCGGCAGCAGCAACAGCAAGATCCTTGTGCCAGGGAAGATGTGGCCAGTTCCTCTCTCAGGCCACCACCCCGAGCCTTGAACTACTCATCAGAAATGATACCCTCCCCGTGTAGCCTGCGTTTCTTTTGGTTTTCTGTGTGCCCACCTCTTCTCCCTACCTGGGTGGAGCT